AAAAAAGTCTCATTTTAAATCGCTTTCACCTGTGTGTTGTCAAAACTTGAACTTGTTTACTTTGGGGGATTCCGTCCTTGCGCGCATGCGCAAAAATACTTACATGTGAGGCCTGTTAAAGGGTTTTCCACTAATACCACCTGTGTACAGATAAGTAGGCAATGTGATGAAAACTTGTTTAATTATCAGAATTTTGACCTAAATTACTATATTTAATAATTTTATGGCTTTAATGCGTAAAATATCATGCATACAAGCATGTACGCCATTGCATGTGAATGCGATGGGGTAACGGTACCAGCATTTAGTCTACGCTCTATTTCCTGAATTACATCTATTTATCTCTGGGAAAATGGTCTGTTCAACAATTATAAATGAAATAAGCCCGATATAACTATAATGGGCTATATTTCATGCACGGGAACTCCTTCTCTTCATACAAAATAATGGATAATTTCGGTACCCCGTATGAGGCCTCATAATTTAGGGTTATTCTATGTTTAGAACATGATAGGAGTTCCATGATTTGTGTGACGAGCCGAATATTGATGTGTAACGTTCAATTTTCGGTGAGTGAGCGCAATGAAAAATAATGTTTAAGTTACTACGATTTTTGTACGGGAACTGCTCGCATGCCAGTAGACAGTACAGAATTGATCTTTCTGCTTTGGATGGGTCACATCTCGAGCATCAGTGAATATTTGTTTTGAGTAACGCACCCGGGAAAAAGTGTTTTTTCGACAGGACATTAGAAACATGACACGGAACTTTTATTTATTTATTTTTTTATTCATTCATATCATTTACTTTCATTATAAATAATCACTTATTTTTGTAAACAGAGACTCTAAAATGTAAAATATTTTGTACTGAGTTGTGCTTTGTAGTTATGATCAGCCTGTGCTCCATCGTAGTCCATATTGTGACAAGGTCAAAGTGATCTTGTGGAAACTGTAAATTTTACTTCTACCCATATTTATTTTTTATTTTATAACTGTTAACAAATACATTGTATGTTTATGCTTTTCAGACCAGTTTTGTGACGGAGAGTAGCTTTAACAGTACATTTCTTTTTTTTCATAACAAGCTTTTCGGTGGTTAGTGAAATTTAAAACTGATAATTTCACTGTTTTAAACAATGATATAATCAATTTGATAATTTCACTGTTTTAAATCTAAGCAGTGAAATACCAGCGTGCACAGTACTGGATACCAACTTAATGACGTGACGTCATAAATGCGTCATAAATGACGTCACGTTGTATTATTATTTGGCACACTTTACATTAAGAATTAGGTTAAAATATCTTTTTTAACATTTCTTTGCATGTAATAACTAAAACTGTGTCCAAAGGACACGGATGCCCCCACTGACAACAAATTTGGTCACAGCAAAATTTCCTTCCTTTTCTTCTATCTACACATTATGGTGATTCATCCCTGGAAGTTGAAGCAAAATCTGCCATCCGTTTAAGAGGAATAGCGTTCACAAGATTTCGGGACGTATGGACGGCCATACGGACGGACGGACGTACGGACGTACAAGTGCAACGCTATATGCTCCACACTTTGTGGGGGCATAAAAAGAAAATTTGTTTAGTTTAATGTTAGATCGAAATATATTTCACCTCGTGAACACCAAAAGTTCATATTTCACTCATGGCTGCGCCACTTGTGAAATATACCTTTTGGTGCTCACTCCGTGAAATATATATTCCAATCTTACACAGAACTGAACAAATAGCCTCTATATCTTTTGCAAATTTTCACATTTTAAGAGCATAACTAGTTCTATATACATGTACATGTATAAGAATTCAAAATTTTACATTTTCAGGCAATTGACTTCAGTGGAGCTCTTTTCAAATGACCAGAAAAAAATCTAAAACACCTTACCTTCTGACACAGAAAAGATGTATATTTGATCAAATCCCTCTGGTGATTTCTTACAAGGCAGATACCCAAAACAGTATAAGGACTGATCAGTACATTGATTTTCACTATCTAAGGGAAAATAATTGTTCTTTATATCACATTCACATTTTGAGTTAGTCCAGTGCCGTTTCACACCGGTCACTATATCACACTCTATTTGATCACGATGTCCACACTTTTTCCTGGGTTCTGGGCATTTTGAAACGTTAGCTGACCATATTGATTCATGAGGATTAAAATATTCTTCTGGGCACCAGGTACAATTTATATAAGCTGTTTTCAAATGACCTTGTGGAAATGAAATGACAGGCCTTTTTCCTGCAGAACAAAAGTAAAAAGATATTTATTTAGTTTGAGTTATGAATAATAATTTTTATAGACTTAGTACAAGTGAATATTGTAAAGGAAACATTAATTAAATAACAAAACTTTAATACAGTGTTCAATAAAATTCTATCATTCTATATCATCATTGTTTGAATAATGTGATCAAAATAAAACATGTCAGTTTTGCTATTTACACTGTTGTGTACATCATACATCATTCAAGTCAATTGTCTCTTTGTAACATAATCTCCTACATCAAACTTATATAAATCCAAGACAGTTAACAAAGTAAAAATTTGGTAGTAACAGTTATTAGTTAGTGCTCAGGACATACCCCTATATATTTACACTTGTTGACAGATGAAACTTATGTTGTATTTTATGATTTCCAAAACTACAAAAGGTGGAAATAAGTCTGAGTTGTACACTTTTCTGTCTGGGCTACCAGCAAGCATCAATTAAACAAGAGGACCATGATGGCACTAAACCCGTCACCAGAAACAACTGTTTTTCAGTGTTAGAAATAATTTTACAAGTGAAAGTGAAATCTTAGTTTAATGTAAGTAAATACACATTTTTGTATCAACAATTTCACCTTAATGGAGAACTCTTTTAGAAAAGCAATAGACAAGCAACAGAAAAGCAAGCTACCTGATACATATACACATGTAGGCTTTATGGAGGAAACCACTTGTTACAGTAAATTTTAACACACACTTTTAGTTACAATTGTAAAGTTGTTTTGGATCAAATTTCTACAATTGTGCACAACCATTGACTTTGTGTTTAGAACTGGAGAATCAGTAAGTGTCCCATCAGAAAAACCTTCACCTTAATCATAGAGGTTAGAGAAACAAAAAAGAATGAGTTCTGACCCAAAGATAAAACATATATTCAGATTTAACTAGCTCCAAAATCATGATACTTTAGACATAACTCATTCTCTTATAGAGTTTGTAGAATATTTCCTCAAACTGCAGAAATTAACTTTTTACATTGAGAAATCTGTTCACACCTTACTACGAAAGGACACTATTACCTCTCATAAACTTTCACTAAAATATGGGCAAGTAAAGTTAAGCTGCGGACAAGTAAAAATTTATTTCCAAATTGTCTGTGGGCAAGTGGCAAAAATTCATTTTTCCACACCCATGCTATACAAGTCTAATATGTTAACTGAATAACCCTCAAGTTGGGACCATTTTTGGGGCTGACTGGGGCATGACTTATAAACTTTATTTAAAGATCCACTAGGCAATGCATCATGTCAAATTTCTACTGAATGTTGAAATTGTAGTTTCACAAAAAGAAGACTGAAAAGTATTTTCCTATAATACAAATTTATATCAACCAATTAAATTGACCCTGTGGTGGAACCAATTTTGACCCTAAATATAGTATTTGTATAGAAATATATGTAACTTATGTACAGAATCGCAAGTTTATTTAATATGCCAATTATTTAATCTCTATGCATCTTTAAGTTTCTGAAAAGAAACCTTTATAGATATTTTTAGGTTTGGTAAAGATAAGGAGGACTTGTTTAAAAAAAAATATGGAAAAAGCAACAGAAGACAGACACATTGCCCTCACAAAAGTTCACTTGGTGCTCAGGTGAGCATAAAATGTGCTACAATAATGCAAAATTTGTGTGGATATATACAAAATAAAAGTTTTCCAAGTAATAGGAAGAGCAGCAAAACATGAGGCTTTAAATAAGTCTGATTTGTACTAGGGGGGTTATTGATAAGCCCCAAAGTATTAAGCAGATTGCAGAGGGTTTTGATGTTCTTTCTCTTTTGTATCAAAGTCAAACATAAAAACACATTCCCTGTTGTCACGATATAAAACCCCAGAAAAAAGTAACCAATGAACAAGCAGGTAATTAATACATGCACTCCAGTTAATGCACTGTGCATGTATATGTATACAATTTTAACTCTGACACATTTTCATTAGTAAGGTCTCCAAACTATGATACATCTTTTCATGTATACCTGAATGTACAGGGGATTCTGTCTTTTTTTTTCTTTCCCACTATATATATAATTTGTTTATATTATATATATAGATTTAATGAAATAAGGACAGATTACCCTGTGCCTGTATGGGCAATTTCTTTGTGTTTCTATATCTCCAAAACTGTATTTTATTCACCCATACAGCTTTAAAGTAAGTGTTTCACATTTGTACATGTTATACATAATAATATACCTTTATCACAATACTTTGGAACTACACAAGCTTCTATAGGATTTCCACTTTCATCATCTGGGTCTGTACAATGATATGTTGCCCCTACTCTTTCATTTGAGCAATTCCAACTGCTTCTCATTGAATTCCATTCATTTTCAGTATAAGGGCAACGGCCATGGCACTGAACATCAAATGGAACAACATTGCAGTTCCTCTTGTTTCTTTTCTCACCTAAAGAACAAAATAACAATTTTCTTTACAACTTGACAAGTAGTTTTTTAAATATGGAATACATTGTACTTAAAATGAAATGCCTCAGGTTCAATGGCCTCCAGTAAAAAGAGGTTTAGGATTGCTGACCACTTACACTTTGAATCCTGCCATGACCTATTAATTTTTTCAAGTGAGTCCAGTTATATATCATAAGTATTTTGTTTCTGTTAAACATAATTTGTGTAATATGTGCTATCTACATGTATATGATTATTGGAAAACAGTTGACACAGTATAATCATATTCTCACTTTTGTTGGTGATAATGCAATCACATTTTATAATCGACTGTATACCATATAACTGGTTATTTCTGCGGATAGCTAATTTCTGCAAAATTTTGCAGGTCCCTTCCGACCGCAAAAATTAAATTCGCAAATATTTCGTAGTTTTACGGGGTATATGTAATTTACCCCGTTTGTCAGCTCAAATTACCTGTTAAATTAAACAATACTCACTACCCGCTGCTGGCCTCTAGCCCTAGTGAAAATTGTCCATTATTATGCTAGAAACTTTGCAAAATAAAATATATTGTTTTATTGTATTGTATTATGTATTGTGTTGTACTGATAAAGAACTATGAGATTTTTATAACACTCTCTTGGTGTAGTCAATAATCACAATGGATTTTACATGTAGTTTATCGCGTAATAAGTTTAGCAAGATTGTGTTTGTAGGCTGTAAATTTAATAGAAAAATGCAGAAATTAAATTTTATAAAAGTTTTTGATGAAAAACGCAGAAATTAAATTCGCAAAAATTAATATACCCATTTTCAGTCCCAAAATGCAAAAATTTGCACCAGCAGAAATAACCAGTTATACGGTATGACCATACTTTGTAGTAGAAATGCTTTTCTTTCTTTGTCCCTGCACAACAGCAGCTGTTTCATTTATAATTCATCATAGACTTTTAACAATAGCCTGCTAAACAGAGATAAGAAAATCAAGAATTTTCTAACAAATTATCTCACATTTGATAATGGCATGCTTTTTTGACACTCAGTAATCAGGCCCTTGATATAATTGCTGCATGAGCAGGCAGGTACAGCAGTAGTTAATGTTGCCTGTCATTTTAGTGGCTCCAGACAGACTATACTCTACTTAAGGAATAGGTTTAACGCCACAGGGTCTGAAGGAGATTGCCATAGGCCCAGTTATGCACATACAACTTTTATATGTAAGGTACATACTACTTAAACACATTTACGCACTTATGTAATCATTTCTTGCCAGCAAAAGTTACAGCAAGGCATAATGACCTTTATGTCCAACAGTAATTAACCATCTAAAACAGTCATATTCCTATATGTGCAGATGGGAAAGTATACATGCATCACCAAAAAAGAAAAAGAACAAGAATGTGTTTGTTAAACCCAAATGCCCCCCGGCTCAGATTCTTGTCAGTAACAATATTTAAAATAAAGGCTGTATGGGCACTGGTGACCTTGACCCAACTGACCCCTAACTCCATCCAAAGGAAGAATATCAAGCAGCTTACTTTCCTTCCAAATATGAAATAAATCTGTCAATATATAAAGGCTGTATGGGCAAAAGTGTAAAAAATCTTATTTTTAGCACTGTTGACCTTCCCACAACTGACCCCTAACTCCATCCAAAGGAAGAATACCATGTAAGTTATCTTCCTACCAATTATAATACAAATCTGTCAATAAATAAAGGCTGTATGAGCAAAAGTGTAAAAATCTATTTTTAGCACTGGTGACCTTGACCCAACTGACCCCTACCTCCATCCAAATGAGAATACCTCAATTTTATGTTCCTACAAAATATACAAGACATCTGTCGATAGAATAAGGTTAATACACCCGTAAAAGTGTAAAAAAACTATTTTTGACATTGGTGACCTTGACCCAAATGACCCCTTACTAAAGGAAAAGGAAGAGGACCTCCCTTGGTATGACTATTATAAACATGAAATACATTAACTTAAAAATAAAGGCTGTTTGAGCAGAAATGTTTAGATTTATTTTTTTACACAAGTGACCTTGACCTTGACCTAGAGACGCCTAACACCACAAAAAATTAGAGGACCGTTAAAGGTATCAACTTACCAAATATGAAAGATATCATTAAATAAATTAAGTAATTAGGTGAAATTTTTTTATAAATCCAACTTGGCGGAATAGGTTAACCATAAAAGGCCCTATTTTCAAAGTGATAAAAAGGGAAATTACTGCACATTTATATAATTTGGCAATATCATGTACATTGTATTGATAAGTTAGTGTGAAAATTATTAAGCCATTCGTTCAGATAGAACATAAGATATTTCCAACTAGCCGGTTTAGGTTAACCATTATTCATTTTCTAAGTGCTGAAAAGGGCCATAATTTGGTGCAAATGGAAGCGATAATTATGTAACTTGCCCAGATCATATACTTTGTATGGATTAGTAAGTGTGTAAATTATGAAGCCATTGGTACAGGTAGAACTTAAGAAAAATCCAACTTGCCGTTCTATGTTAACCTCGTACGGACAGACGGACGGACCGTTCAATTACTATATGCCCGGGGGCATAAAAAATAGCTAGTGATGTACAAGGAATAGAGACAGGTTTGGTGGAGGCAGTATAATGGTTTTGGGTAGAATAAAGGGAAACCAGAAAACAGATAAGGTCATTATTCAAGACTCAACACTATATCACTTCTCAAACAATACCTTGATACTTTTTATACCATAAAATTTGTGTTTTTATACTGTGATTAATCATCAACAAAACTATTACTGTATGAGGGTTCTGCACCTGGGTAAAATCCAATGCTGCATCACTGTGAATATACAAGTATAGCTATAGACTATTGCACCTTTAGTTCTTACCTTCATTTCTCCTCACATCTTGTTGTGCCAGCGCATCATCTTCTCTTGGGGCATTACTGAAATGTAAAAAGATATAAAGCATGACTTGTGTTTATTTACATCAGCTGACCTAGGAATGAGTATAATCATTTTAACTTGGTCAGTAAATAAGTTATTTAGTATAAGTATGTAAAATTTAGTATTAGTATGTAACACCTTTCTTTCATAAGGCTTACAGTTCCGGTTTCCCAGTCTTCCATGTGGGCCTCAGCTACATTATACACAATATATATGCACAAACATCATAATGGGCCTCAGCTACATATACACAACATATATGCACAGACATCATGATATTTTAATGAAATAAATCAAGTAAACTGAAACAATGAGTAATCAAGCAAGAACCAAAGTGTTCATGATGATATGATTGGGGGAAAATATGGGACAAAATTTAAAAGAAATGATAGTAATAGTAATAATGAAAATATATAAAAATAATTTATACAAACTGTTCATGTAAGATGAAAACTGCCACTTAATATATTAAGCTGGGAGTATTAGGATTTTTAATTGTACTGGTATGTCATTCCATATTTTTGGACCAAAATATGCAATATTTGTCTGAAAAACTCTGTTTTAGGTTTTAGTATAATTAGCTTTTCATTTTGTGCAGATCTGAGGTTTAAATTGTGCCTTTTGTTTACTGTCAGGAATTCATTTTTCATATAAGGTAGAAAGTCTGGTTCATTGACCTATACATAAGAAATGACTTTTTGTACATGATTCTTAATGGTCAAAATACATCCAGTTTAATTCATTAAACAAATCATATGAAGGTGTATCAAAACTTTTGTCAAGGAGTATTCTGGCTGCTCTCATATTATTATAAGCCTTAGGTTCAAATACTTTTTAATCTACATGCAACCCAAGTTGAAAATTGCAAATTTTTACTAATTCAAGGGTAATAACTCTAAAATTGCTGGATAAATCTACAAACGAAACCACGCATATTGACCACCATTCCTTTAAATTTTATGACTCTAGGTTAAATAATTTTTGAGTTACGCACCACCAAAATTGAAAATTAAAAAAATTATATTAAGTCAAGGGCAATAACTCTGACAAGACAGAATATATCCACAAGCCAAACCCTAGGTGCACAACTATACATGCTGAGCAACCTTCTCGTAAGGTTTAATGACTCTATGTCAAATACTTTTTGTGCTACTTGTGACACAAGTTAAACATTGCATATTTTTACTAAGTCAAGGGCAACAACTCTACAAATACTGAATAAATCTATACATAAATACCCAGGTGCACAACTACACATGCTGACTTACATTCCTGTGAAGATTCATGACTCTAGGTCAAATATTTTTAAGCTACATACCAGTATGACACAACATGAGAACGGACAGACAGACAAGGGTAAATAAAAATTCCCCCTGTATAGTGAGGGTTTGACTGCTTCTCTTGTAATCCAGCCCCTGTCCAGCACACATGTGCACTGTCCTTTGAGTAAGCCTAAAAACAAATGTTGGAACACCACACTAAATACCATGTTTTGGGTATATACACCAGACATTAGGCCCTTAGTGAATGATTAAATGCTAAAATCTCGCCTTTTCGCACATTTACAGAATGAACTTTAAATTGTCTAATTCATCTCTTCACACCCATTTATATACCATTATGAATGAAAAATGTAAGAATTTGGCAAAAAAGATATTTGTGTGATCATGATTTTTGCTAGCGTCTATAGCCAAAATAGGTACTGCTCCAACACTGTTACAAGTGAGTTGAATCCCTTACCTTTCAGCTTCATTTATTGGGATCCTGTATGCAGTTCTGTGTACCAACTGAAGTAAAAACACTAGGAGGATTACCTGAAATCAGAATAGCATATATTAAAGTGGTTTATTTAACAAACCCTCAAATATTTATATTTGCTATACAGTTGGGGAAGAGTCATTGTAAAGGCGGGGTTATTGCATTTCTTTATATATATTATTGTTTTTGTTTTTTATTATTAATCTGTAAAACCGATATTGCTACATTTAATTTCCTTCATTTTTTTTTTCAAAAATATTCTCAATTATCATTCTTTATTATATGATCTAAATATAGCTACAATCTCATTGGTCCAAACAGTAGTCAACAGAACTTTTTATCAAAATCATATTTACTGGGTGTAGTATCATTTTCACTGGCTGAATTGGATTTTCCCAGTCGCCTCGGTCAATATGTCATCTGCCGCGGTGAATTATCAATC